AAAAAAGATCCACTTAGAATCATTATGACACTTTTAACATATTTTAATTTAGAGTTACATCAAATGGATGTGAAAACTGCTTTCTTGAATGAGAATTTAGATAAAGATATCTATATGGATCAACCAGAAGGGTTCATAAAGAAAAGAAAAGAACAATTAGTTTGTAAATTAAAGAAATCCATTTATGGTCTTAAACAAGCTTTTAGAAAATGGTATATAAAGTTTAATGATACCGTTACATCTTTTGAATTAAGAAAAATGTTGTTGATCAATTTATATATATGAAAATTAATAGGAGCAAGTTTATATTTCTGATACTATATATAGATGATATTTTGCTAGCTAGTAGTGATTTTGGTTTGTTATACGAAACTAAGAAATATCTCTCTAAAAACTTTCAGATGGTTGATATGAGTGAAGCAACTTATGTTATTGAAATAGAAATCTTCAGAGATCGTTCTTGAAGATTGTTAGGTTTGTCTAAAAAAGGATATATTGACTGAGTTTTGAAGAGATTCAATGTGCAGTTATATTCGGCCAATGTTGCACCCATTCTTAAGAGTGACAAATTAATTAACAGTCAGTGCTTAAGAAATGACTTATAAAGGGAACAGATGAAGAATATTTCTTATGCGTCTACTATGAGAAGTTTGATGTACGCTCAAACCTGTACTAGACCAGATATCAACTATGTTATTGGTATGTTGGGAAGATATCAAAGTGATCAAGGAATTGAATACTGGAAAGCTACAAAGAAGTTTATGAGGTATCTTCGAGGAACAAAATATTATATGCTTACATATAAAAGATCAGAATAATTAGAAGTGATTGGATACTCGGACTCATATTATAATGGTTGCCGTAATAACTTAAAGTCTACTTCAGGTTTTGTCTTTATACTAGCAAATGGAATAATTTCGTGAAAAAGTGTAAAACAGTATATTACTACCTCATCCACAATGGAGGCTGAGTTTATAGCATGTTTTGAAGCCTCAAGTCATGCTTTGTGGTTGTGAAATTTTATTTCAGGATTTGGTGTTGTTGACTCTATTGCCTGAGAATACTTTGTAATAATACTACAACTGTTTTTTTCCATAAGAATGACAAATATTCTAGTGGATCCAAACACATGAACTTAAAGTATTTAGTTGTTAGATAAAGAGTCCAAAAAATAATAAGTGTCGATTGAAAGTATTAGTGTCACACTTATAATTGCTGATCCATTGATTAAAGGGCTACCTCCAAAGACGTATGCAGAACATGTTATAAGATTAGGTATTTTGAGTAACTTATAATATGACAATGAATATTTCAGTGGTTGAATAATTGACATTTTGCGCATTAAAGTTTGTTTTTATTATTTTTTATTTTTAATTATGGGTGCACAATTTAGTATTAATCAACAGAAAATATCTTGACAATACAAATTATAGAGGTTATTTTGGCATTATGGACTGAATTAGTAAAGGTTATTGGTGTGTGGTGCATAGAAGAAAATGTGACATTGAAGTTATGTGACCGCTATGATTTACATTATAATCTAAATTATTTCAGTATTATAATATAGTAATTTTGGACTTATTGGCTGATTTTATTGCAATCATGTATCAAATTTATTTTATTATAAATATAATTTAGTATAAATGTATATATATTATAGTATTCATAATCGATTTATGGGTTAAGTGGAGAATGTTAATTTTAACAGTTAAGTGGATGACCCACTAACTTAGTATTTTTTTTTATCCACTTGTAATGGTTGAAACCAACTTAAAGAACACCCAAAATAATAGATAACTGTTATAAAAGAAAAGATACATTGATGAAGCGGGTAACCTTAAAATAAATTATAGAATTGTTGTATTTTATGAATATTAATCTACAATAATAGAAACGGTTATCAACACATACAATTACCTTAAATATGCTTTGACCTCTTATTTCGTATATAAAGGGCGCACAAATTCTCCTTTCAATGTGTTTTTCATCAACTAAAATTACAAAATTTTGTGTATAATAGTAAGATAGAAAGAAGAAGCGAGTAATAGAATTAAGGTCATCTCTAATGAGTCTCTCAATCACGCTATAGCTGCATTATCTCAGAATGATATGTAGTTCTAACTTTCTGCTGTCTTTCTTTTTTAAGATGTGTTGAATTCAATAAAAAGATGACTTCTGTATAAAAATTTCTTACAAACTCTTATGAAATTATCGATATTATATTATTTTCTATAATTGAGATTTTGCTTTAAATAAAATATGCATCTATTTCATAAATATTTTGTAATTAATTGTGTGCATATCTTTGTTATGAATATTATTCTTTTTTTACTGACTTCGTAAAACTCACTCAAATTCACAAATTCGCCAAGTGTAGATTAGTTCATATCATGAGCACGTTCAAGGTAAAAGAAATACTATGAAAAATCTTTTAATGATTTTGGATGTTTTGTTTTGTAAATTATATCTAAATATATTATAGTGATGTAATTTCAAAGTTCTTGCGACTCCTATGAATTCTAGTTATATATAAGAAGTGATTATTTTTTAAAATTTTAACATATTACTACATAAATTAGCAAATTATACGTATGGTAGCGGTAAAAAATTGAGACATTATATGAGATGTATCACAACAATCCAAAATATATACTTACTGAATTAATTAGGGATTTAAGTTAGAACATTGAGTTTTAATAAAATGTAATATACTTAAGATGTAAATATAAGTATTACCCTCATTATGGATATAAAAAATTTAAATATATTAATCTCTCATAATATAGAAGCAATACACATACGTCGTCTAGCCCACTTATAGGTAGAAAATCAATACAAATTTAGCTTATTTTCAATAATTTATAAATTTTATGGTCTATAAATCTTACTCTTTCATAAATGCTATGAAAACTAAAATAAGACATACAACCATTATATTTTTTAGAAATCATGTCCACACCAAATTGGTTTTAGATTCTAAAAAATAATATGAAGAAAACAATGAATAAGAATAGCAAAATTATTATGGAGATATAGTTTATTTCCATGCCCCGTATTATGTAATAAGACAATTTTATTTGAACTGTTTATTGCTTAACGAGAAAAATTATATACTTTTCAATAATTAAATTATTTATTAAAATTATTGTGAAAGTAATAACCAATTTTTTTTTTTTCAAAGAAGACACTTAGAAATCCCATATAAATATAAAATTATCATTTAATTTTAACTGGCTAAATTATTTATTTTAAGTCATTTTTTAATTTCTTTAACATATATACAAGTTTTTTTTTTATAAAAGTTTCTATTATATTGTGCAAGAAATATTAAACTATTTTGAATTTTATATGCATGTATTTTATTTAATTGAGTTGAAATATTTATTTCAAATATAATAATTAAATTTGAAGTTTTAAATTAATAAACTCAATTATAATTAAAGAACTGTTACACTTAAATATAATAAACTTATTTTAATATTTTTATATTGAAAGTGAATTAAAGATATTATACATTAGGACCTGGTTTTGACATTTAATTCACTAGAACTTCAATTCTAGTAAAAAATAATATAAGTTTCTTTTATGGTATGCATGGTAAAAATCAAGAAATAAGGATAAATATGAGAAAAATAAAATTATAGGAGAAGAATTTAGAAATAAAACAATATGAGGGGAAGAAATAAAATTTAGAGAAAGTAAAGGGGAATATTCTGAAAATAAAGAAATAGATGGGGCATAATTTAAATTTAAAGAAATAGTAAGGGCATAGAAGCAATTTAGAAATAAGAAAAGAAGGTTTTGGAAGAGAGAGAAGAAGAGAGTTCGTGAGAGAGAGAGAGAGAGAGAGAGACACTGTAGAGAGAGAGAGCGCAACCGATTAGGGAGAGAGATGAAAAGAAATACAGAGAGAGAGAGAGAACAGTCAAGAGAGGAGAGGGAGTGTGAGATAGAGAGAAGATAAATTTATTTAAGATTCATTTCCAAAAAATTACATGATACATCTTGTTTAAAATCAATACATGAATCAATCATCGCCATGAATCGGAAGGCGCCATTTGGAGGAGCACTTTCCCGCCGTTCGCATCGACTGAGAAAAGAAGATGAAAAGTGTCCCGGTTCAAATGAGGAAGAAGAAACGGTTCAAAACGGTTTAGTTTAGCCGAACCCGATTTTTTTTTTGATCACCTGGGATTGATTTCATTATTTCATTCGTGTATCCATGCTTCAAGTATTTTTCTGGGATCTTGACATTATATTTCATATTTTTATTTTTCATTATTAAATCTTTATTTTTTTGAAAGATATATAGAATGAATGAGATGTGACTGAAAAATATATAATAAAAAATGTATATAGTCGACAATTATATGATTTTACTCGTATGAATATAATACATTTGATAAGAAAGTAAATATCCCTTTATAATTTACTCAAAATTAAAAAAAAAAAAAACACTATCAAAAAGGAAAACAAAAGCCGTTAGAAAAAAAAAAAAAAAAAGAAAATAGGGATAAACGGAAATTATGTTATTTCAAGATTCAAGAGTAAAATAATTTAAATCGCTGAAGCGCTCAAACGTTGTCGGTTACCGATTGCCTTTTCATTCTTCCGTCTCCAATAATCAGATTTCTCCATTTTCAAATTTACAGTGCCCTGAGAAACTCTTACGCTAGGGTTTTATGTCCTTACAAAATTGTCATTTTCGGATTCGATTAGGATCTGATATCGTTTTCCTTCGTTGGTGCCTGTGACCATGTCGGCATCAACTGTCTCCATAACAGCGAATCCGGCGTCGACTCGCCGGAGGCCGGTGGTAGTCGGAGAAAAGAAATCTAATGTGGAGTTGTTGCCTACCGAACCACAAGCAAATGGCGGTTCCGAGAAAGATAGAGCCGCCAGCGTCCTCGAGAGGTCCTCTCGCGACTTGGCGCAGGCAAAGAAGACCGTAGCAGTATCAACTATATCTCCTCGCCGCTCCCGGAAGGTCCCAGCGAAGCCGGAGAAGCCTCGGTGGCTAACAGTGGTTAGCATCTTCACCAAGAACTTCTTGCTTCTTCTAGTGTTGGGGGGGTTGGTTCAGATGGTATGGAGGTTAGCCTTGAAAACTCGCGATCCATCTATCGAGGGATCATCCGCGGGATTTTCGGAATTGGAGGGACGGATTGCGGAAGTTGAGGGGTTGGTGAAAACTACTTCCAAAATGATCCAGGTCCAAGTGGAGGTCGTCGACAAGAAGATCGATAGAGAAATTGGGAGGCTGCGGGGGCAGATGAACAAGAAGATAGACGACGAAACTGCAGTTCTGAAGGGTGAACTGCAGAAAATAGAGGCCAGGAGCGAGGGGATGGAAAAGTCCCTGAGCGAGTTGGGGGCGGCAGATTGGCTTTCCAAAGAGGAATTCCGGAGGATCTACGAGGAGTTAAAGAATGGGAAGAGTGGTCAGTCTGATGAATATGATGTGCGTTTGAATGACTTGAGAGCGTATGCGAGGGACATTGTTGAGAAGGAGATTGAGAAGCATGCGGCGGATGGGCTTGGAAGGGTGGACTATGCGCTGGCGTCAGGTGGGGCAGTGGTTGTTAGGCACTCTGAGCCCTATCTGGCTGGGAAGGGGAGTAACTGGTTGTCTATAAACAGTCGAAATAGGGTTCACAATGATGCTTCTAAGATGTTGAAACCTAGTTTTGGGGAGCCAGGGCAGTGCTTTCCGTTGAAAGGAAGTAGCGGGTTTGTCCAGATTAAGCTGAGGACGGCAATTGTACCAGAGGCTGTTACTTTGGAGCATGTTGCCAAGGTGATGTTCTGATTTCATATCTAGGTATTTGCATTTTTAAGTTATTCATTTAAGTTTTTGTATTCTCGACTTCGCAGGTATTGTAAATGAAACTGTTTAGATGCCTTTGAAGTTTAACTTTTATTAACTATTTCTTTTTACAAAAACTTGCATTAAATAGTTTCCTACACATAGCGTTAGTGGTATGTATTAGATCACACAAATATATGTAGCTTGTAGGATCTTGGTTTTCTCTTCAAATTATTGGTATCTGGAGTCCTGAGGATCTAAAGTTTACGTTTGTAGGTTCTAGTTTCAGTGGTTGACATTTTATCTATCAAATATCATTTTCTTTATGTTGACGGGATACAGGCATATAAAGTATTCATGTTTTCAAGCTTGGTTGCCTGGTGGGTTCTTGCCCGAGCATTTATTCTTTTCCGTAGGTGAGAGTTGAATAAAATGATGAATATCAAAATAATTCCTCTCAGAAATTTATTGGTGATTTAGCTGACAAATTTTTAGAATGATTGATGGATTTAGGAAGAGTAAAAATTTTTGGGAAAGAAAATTAGTGTGGTGTTCCACAGTGATATTGCTAGGTTTTGTTTACTATATTTATGTCTTGTATGGTTAGTTGATAATAGATTCAACCAAGAGTGAATTTTTTTTGAAAGAGCCAAGCGCGGATATATTTGTTAGTATTTGGCTGTAGGGCTTTATTTGCTTTATATTGATTTCAAGGCATTGCATTATGATTATTGACTTAAATTGTTGATCAAATCAGCTTTCAGATGTTATGTTTTTCTAATAAATAAATAAACATAGGGTTTTTTGTTTAATTTCATTCTTGAAAAGAAATTCCTATTGCTTCCTATAGAGAAGCTTTGAGCTATGTTGAATCGAAGTTCCTTGCCTCTTAGGTGCAGAGTGTGTGAACAGCATTGTGCTTTTACTTGCTAGAGAAAACTTGTAATGGCCTTTTATATAGTTTATCAAAAGTCCTTAACGAATAAATGATGAATTTAAGTTATACTGTACACAGAAGATTGGTTTTTTTCATTAGATTAAGCTTTTAGGCAAGTGTCACGTTTTAGACTGTTAGAACTAGATGTCAAAAGTTCAACTTCAGGTTGTTCAGTTTCTACTAAAATTGAATTTCAGTACAAGCTAATGTGAGCATGTGATTTCTTCATATCACAGTCCGGTGGGCATGCATGTGATTGTATTCTCTTCCAAATGGCTACCTAGATGATTTTATTATGTTTACCAACCTTCAATATACATGTTTTAGCTTGTGGACTTAGTTTCGAAGAGGTGTAGAGATGTGTAATATCTCCTTGCTCTCTTCTATGGTAATAAGGCTAGCATTGTAGATTACATGGTTTCAAGTAAGAGCTTGAGTTGGCCTATCACTTATGATGTCCCACTTGATGGCAATCCTTATGACTCCCTTTCTCTTCCCTTAAATTTAGGCTTGTTTGCTTAGTATTCTTTTGCATTATCTATCTCTTTGAAATCCTTGTGCCTATGCTAATGAAGTTACAGTGTGATGAGGGATTTCTTGTCGGTTGGGAATGGTTGTGAGAGAGATATCAAATAACCATTTTTTTTTTGTGGAATATCTGTTGTCCATCAAAGGATGGGGCCCCGGGGCTTCAAGAACAAGTATCTAAGAACTTATCTTTTATTGGCTAGTTAACTTTGGCATTTTCATCTTGAATTCTCTTGTTTATTCCTTGAGGTGATTAAGAGCAAAATGAACTATGCAGAATGGATATGATACTAAAACTAGGACACAGTAACTAATGATTGCCCTCTTCTCCATTTGAATTTTTGGTGGCTCTTGCATCTTGTTTTAGGGAGAGTGTGTTAAGGCAGTCTTTTTGGTCTAGTCCTTTCCCTTCCCATTATAAACCGTCCAAACATCTCAATGTCCAATCTATGGTTTATTGTCCCATTTAGATGGTCATGACTGTGGAATTTGTTATTGCTCCAACTTTTCTTGGCTAGATATCTTATCTGCTGGGTCTTTTGTAGTGTTCACTTTGTAAATTTTGAGAATTTTAGGCAGGAAAGTATATTCTCTTGGTGGAGAATTCCCAATACATATTTATGGAAGTACACTTTGATTTTCTGTCCTAAAATTAGCTAAAATATAATATACAGATTTGATCTACAGCTAGTATATCCTAATTAAGGAAAGAAAAAATTTACAAAGATATGAGATACTTGTTAAAGTTGTACAGAGCATAAAATCTGCTAGTTTTAGTATAAAATATACTGACTTTAAGTGTGAAATCTCATGATTTTAATTGTGAAATCTGCTGCTCTAATTGTGAAATCTGCTGGCTAAGTGTAAAATCTGCTAACTTTAATTGTTTTTTTTTTTGAGATACTGCTAACTTTAATTGTGAATCTGCTGACTTTAAGTGGCTAACTAATTCCTTTGACACACTTCTTCTCAAGAATCCCTTTTATCTATTAAAAGAAGTTAAGAAACCTTAATGACATGAAAATTGATGTTTTCATTTGGATTCCTCTCTACACTTATAAGTCAGTCATGGTTTTCATTTGGAATGCAGGCATAAATTGTATGAACACTAACAATTTACCTAATGTTTGTAAATCGAAATGTGCTCTATCTCTAGATGTTTGCATTATGCATTATCTTATGTCGAAGTCCCATTGTCGTCTCATTCTCCATTATGAATGTGTATTAGGGACTATGGGCTAGCTAATGAGATATTCGGGCCAAGTTGGGTCTCTCCTATCTCTTGAAGTCTTTATATATTTGTATTGTGTGGTTTTTGGAGGGACAAGAATTAGAAAATGTCATGGAGATATGAGGTATTTCTTTTGGTTGTCGTTAGAAAGAAATGCTGGAGTTTTCAAAGGTGGAGGCTGATTCCTGTTCCTCTTCATTGTTGTGGACCAAATAAATTTTTTTGAAAGAAAATGTGGACCAAATTGTTACTGTTATTATAGTTTTGTTCGGCATCTATTTGGGCTAAGAACTCATGGATTTCTTCGGGGTAGTTGGGTTTAGCTGTTTCACAAAGGGACTTGGAGGCTATTTTTTTACTGATTTTCCTTTTTCTTTGTTTTTTTCTTGTTTTAATTCGTTTTTTGTTATTTTCTTCTCTCATCAAAATAATATATATATATATATATATATTTTATTTCTCATCAAAATAATATTCTTCTTTTCATTTAGGTAATCTAAAGTTAACCCCATTCTGCATCAGTGAACATATACCACTTATGAGCACTCTTCTGAGATGCATTCTAATGGATCTTTCTTTTTTGTTTTTGAAATATCAAGTGTATAATATAATATTAATAATGGCTCCAAGGGGGTGCCAAACTCATGTACAAGAAATTTGTTGCACTCTAATGGATCTAACTAACAATACACCACTTAAGAGCACTTGAGACTGTTGTAGCAGCCCCATCAAATTCGCTGGTTGAAATCATGATTGGTTTATCTATGGCGAAAGAGATCTGGGTGGGGCAAGGCATCTTGGGAGACGATTGCAGAAAGAACTTCAGAGCCTAGTTCTTTTGTTTAACGGTCATCATTTCTCTTCTGGTGAGAGCTTTGGGAATCTAATAAATATATTGACTGGTTTTCTAATTTGGGTTGCATAACTTTGGCTCTTTATACCTTTTGCTTCTTCAGAAAAATAGATCATGAATTGTTGAAGTTCCTCGAATAATTTTGGAGATGTAAGGTGCATAAGCTGCAACTTTTTTTGTAATTTTTAGAGAAAAAAAGTTTGATTAACAAGACAGCAAAGCAATGCCACCCACATCCAAAGGAGTGAAGAAATTAGAAGTTAAAGTAGCAGCGAGACTCTCCATGATCCTTTATTTAGGATGATGCCTTTTGCTAATGTTTTTGGAAGGTTCTGCTCCCTTTTAAGTTAATTTTTTATTTAGACCGAGGTTCTTAACAAACTCAATACCAATGATTTGCTACAAGTTCATAGGCTTAGTTGCTTCTGGTCCTCGGAGCTTTTGAGATGCGTTTTTAAGATGTCGAGTTCAATTTTTCTTGCACTGAGATGTGTTTGGGAGGTTTTTGGGATCATTTGTGTTACTTTTGGGTTTTCTTGGGCTCCCTCTCTGAACATAAGGGACTATTATTTCTTCCCTTCGTGGCATTTGCGGAAAAGGAAGAGTATCCTTTGTTGTGGAGATGGGCTTTATTTGTTGGTTGTGGTTGGAGAGAAATGCAAGGATATTGTTTATTTAAAAAAAAAAAAAAAGAACTGCAAGGATATTTAAGGATCATTTCTCTCTCACTTTTTGCTGCTTTAGGATAGATTGACTTTTTGGCGTTGTTTTTGGGCTAATGCTCATTGTTGACTTCTATAAGAATGTTTCTTTATCTACTTGCATAGGTATTGGTTCGCTGGACTTCATTGAGTTGTTTTGTTGTTTAGACCTTTATCCTTTTTTTATTTTTTATTTTTACATTTGGGGAGTGAAAAGCTGTCTGTGCAGTTGTAACTTTCTTTTCTTCTAGAAAATTATTTTATTTTTCTATTTAGGAAAAGGGAGATTTGTCAAGTCCTCTACAGAAGAAGGATAATGATCCTTAGGAAACAAACTACCAAAAGAGAAAACAACACCCTCAGAAGACATTCTATTCATTTCCTTACTAAATAACCCATAGTAGCCATGGGATAAGTAAGGGGAATTTTTCTTCTACACCCAGGTTAACAAATAGTTTGCTGTGGTCAAAGGTCTATAGGAGGGCCCAGACTAGACTTAGGAAGTCAAACATGATGCATCAATGTAGCAGGAGAAGGGACACCATAAAAGAAAATGATCAGGCATCTGGCCACTTCATTGCGAGGATAGCAACCATTTCAAGAGATAATTCTACTAAACATCAATAATACATTTGACTTCTCCTTCTTGTGCTTCTCTCCCGTGTCATAGTTAATAGATGACTGAAGTTGTTTTAGTTCTCTCTTCATGCTCATCCCATTCTTCTTTTTAAGACTAGGTTTTACAGATTTGTTTGTGGAGTTTTTTTCATCACGTCTTACAATGGAATTGAATAGTTCCAAGACTTTTTCTTCATGGCATCAAAGCTCACTCCTAAAATCTTACTAATTTTCTGTAGATGGTCAAGAATCCATTTGCTTTCATCACCTCCCTCCCCCTCCACTCCATCCACATTGATCATAGCCTTCCCATCACTGTCATTCTCTGTCCTCTGCAACTCCTTGGTGCCGCCCAACTCTTCTGTTGGGACTAGTACCAACTGTAAGTCTCCTACAGCCGTGCAAGCCTCAATGCCCGATTGGAGGCTGAATCTTTCACCTTCTCTGTGACGCCTCCCTCTTCAATCACGATCCTCCTCTGTGTCTCATCTTCAACCCTAACCTTCCTTCTCCACTTGTGCTTGGGCTTAAAAACCTGAATTCATTTTCCTTTCTTCCTGGTTGAGCATCTTCTGGGACCTATCTCCTCTTTAGGCTTGGCTTCCTCAGCATATATCTGGGCCAATCACACCATCCGAATTATGGATTTCAAAATTTACCTGCTTCAAAATCGGGTCGCATCTTGGCTTCTCCACCTGTCACTGCTCCTCTTCGTCCCTCTTCACTGCGTTTGCATATGGCTTCCAAACCAACACCTCCATTTTTACATTAATATCCACCTTTTGGTAACTGAATCTACATCATATCCAGTGATGGGGGATCTGGTTCATTGGTTCAGGCACCATTTTTGTTGTCATTGGTGTCCTAGGCTTTTCGAGTAGGCAACTCACCTTCCCTAATAGTTTTCATCAACCATCAGCATGGAATCCTTTCAGGATCACTATCCTCTTTCTTTTTTCCCGTTCCATTCTGTGACGACCAGATATTTTCCCCATCCATTTTCCCGAAGCTCCGATAACAGATTGGTGATTCTTCCCTTCCTTTCTTCTTGTTTTTTGTGACATTACTTCCCTTCCTTTCTTTTAACCCACAACTTGTCTCCCCTCTTCCAATAAAAGTCAAATAAACATCTACTACCAGCTAATCTCCTTCCAGAAAATGATTGATGATCTAAACTCCC